CTTTCTAATAATGATTATAAGTTGGTTAATAAGATTAAATAAATATCAAACCTAAAGTATAATCATATATAAACTAAATTTCAATATGAAAAGAATATCTTTAGTTCTACTTATAAAGTTATGTTTTTTTAACTTTTAACATATTATACTTAATTTATTAGTTTTAATATATTACTGGATGTAAACCATTATCATTTTAAAGCTACAACTTTTGAAAAATTTGTATAAAATACTTAAATTATAAATTTAAATATAACATTACATGATCAACTTAAATATAAATTTTAGTTTAACTTAAACAACCCAAAGATTATTTTGTAAATAGTTAAAAGTGATAAATTGTAGTGTCTTTATAATAATGATTATAAGTAGGTTAATAAAGTTAAATAAATATCAAACTTAATGTGTAATCATAAATAAACTAAATTTCAATATTAAAATAATATCTTTACTTCTACTTATAAAGTTATGTCTTTAACTTTTAACATATTATACTTAATTTATTATATTTAATATGTTGTTGTATGCAAACCATTATCAGTTTAAAGCTACAACTTTTGAACAGTTTTGACAAAATACTTAAATTGTTAATTTAAATATAACATTACAGTGTCAACTTAAATATAAATTTCAGTTCCACTTAAAAAACCTAACGAATATTTTGTGAATAGTTAAAAGTGATAAATTGTAGTGCTAAATACAAAAACTAAATTATAATCTCAATTTAACTAAAATATTTTCTAAAGATATTTTTATAATCGTTAAAAGTTTTCAAATAAGTAGCTTAAAATAAATTACAATAACAATAGTTAAAATAAGTCTATATAAATGATTATATTGTTACCATTAAAATAAAAAAAGAATGTTTGATGTTTTAAATAATTATAATGATAGAAATTAAAACGTTAAGCAAATAAATTTTGAAAAATTAATTAACAATAACAACAACTATAAATAACATTAAACCATATATTATATTTAATTTTATTCATGAGTAACTCGCGATTAGAAGTCATTCAAACGGTTGAGATTATGCAGTTATAATACATGTATATATTATAATATTATTCAAAATAATCAATATATTATATCAATTTAGTATACGAATTATTATATCAAATTTAACAACAGCTTTATTGTTATATTAAAAAAACATATATTTGTAAAGATTTCAACTATATAGGTGTTTCTGCACAACGCGCGGAAACACATCATGCATTTGAAACCCCTATACCTTTTCACCTTCAAAGTAATTAATAACACATCACACACTTTATATAACTAAAATTTTGAAGCTATGACTGGAACTATGGATGGTGAATTTAGAGCATGACATGAAGGAACAATTGATTTTGATCCTACGTACTTATAAATATGTTCCGAAATGAAAATTTGGCAAGAATGATGAAAATAAACCTGCTCCTGCATGGTAATTAAATCTTTTATATCATTCATTTCGTACCTTCCACTCCTTTAGTTTGCTCCTACTGCATGGTAATTAAATCCCTTTATATCATTAATTTCATAACTTCCATTCCTTTAGTTTGTACAATTTCAAATACTTTAAACAGATTATGAATATATGGTAGGTGTTATAGGATAATATGGATTGGGGACGAACTAAATCAGACACTATACCCTCGAAATGAATCCAAGTTGTCCGATCATCGGTCGGTGAATGCAATATTTTCTACCGGAGTTAAAGTCTAGAGATAGAATATCAAAACCTTTGCATTTCAGATAGGTTTCTAAAACTATATTTGTTCCAATATTAATAAAGAATGCAAGAACAGGAGGTATACCCACAATTCTTGAAGAATCTGAAACTCCAAGAATGAAAGAAGATTTAAAACCTTTAAAAATTAATGAGAAACTCGAGCATAAAGATTTAATGGCGAAAATTCACAAGTTCTACAAAATCTACAATGAAAAAAATGTGAAATTAAATGTCTTAAATTACCAAACATTGCAAGCAATAAGTAAGTTCTCTAATCCTTTTCAATAATTTTCAAAAAATATGATTCAACACACGTGGGGTTTACTTAAGAAACTAAACGCATACGACCACAAATGAGAACCCATATTTAATCAATTATCGAATAATTACATTAGATACTAATGTGTACATAAACATTACATTTACAATTATAAACTTATAATAATTTTGCATTATTTATTAGTATAAATTATTTGTAAATCAAAAAATATACATACTATTTAATCGCATACAACATTTATGTACAACATATTCAGAATAGATTAAACCATATCAATTATAATGTAATAATTTTGTTAATTGCATTATGTTAGCATCTTATTTGTTTTAAAATCATAACTTCTCAATTAACCATATGCTTAAAAAAATGTTAACTATTTATTTTACCATAATATATATAACCATATTAAACTGCATAATTATTCCATTGCGCAACACGCGGACATTTGTCTAGTATACTTATAAATGAGACATTTTTACTTGCACCACAAGCATTTGAAACCTCCATGACTTTTCAATATCTTTCTAATAATTATTATAACTTGATTAATAATGTTAAATTAATTCAAAAACTAAATTCTAATAATAAATTAACTAAACTATAATATTAAAATATTATATTTTACTTCTATTTATAATGTTATAACTTTAAGTTTTTAAAATATTATAGTTAACTTATTAGTTTAGATATGTTGTTGTATGTGGGCAATTGTTATTTTAAAGTCACAACTTTTGTATAATTTATGATTTTATGCAAAATAGTTAAATTATTAAATTCAATATAATGTTAAACGGTTAACTTAAATCAAAATTTAAGTTAAATTTGAAAAAAATCGAGAGACTATTCTATAAGTAGCAAGGTTCTAAATAACGTAAGGCGTGACTTGTCGGTAATGTCAAGCCTCAAGCTTTTCTGAGCCTTGGCGAGTCACGTCGTTTGTAAGGCGTGACTTAAGGCGACAATTTTGTATATAATTAATATTTTTTATATGTATTTTCAACTATTATTCTATTTTATACACATATATGAGTTAAGGCGGCGTTTTGGTAAAACTTGGCGGTAGGTACAAGCCTTGGAGTCATGGCGTGCCATGGCGAAGCCATGACGAGCTTTTTAGAACCTTGATAAATAGTTAAAAGTTATAAATTATAGTGTTAAACCTAAATTGTAATCATAAATTAACAAAAAAAAACATGAAACTATTTTTTATAATCATTAAGAATTTTCAAATAAGTAGCTTAAATACAACTTATAATAAGAATAGTTAAAAGTAATATTATATAAAAAATTATAATGTTATATTTAAAAACGAAAACAATGTTTGTTGTTTTACATAATTATAATCAAAGAGACTAACAATATTTATCAAATAAATTTTAAAAAAGTTTAATTTTTGAAACCAAATTAAAATAATTAAAAGTTTCCAAATACATTATTTAAAATAACTTATAACAACAATAATTAAAAGTAACATTATATACAAAAATTATATTGTTACATTTAAAAAAACAATGTTGATGTTTTAAATAATTACAATGATAGAAATTAAAATCTTAAGCAAATAAACTTTTTAAAATTAATTAATCATAACAACAATTATAAATATTATTAAGCCATATATTATATTTAATTTTATTCATGAGTAACCCCGCAAGTAGAGACAATTAAGACAATTAAGATTATAGAATTTTAAAAGATGTCTACATTATCATATAATTAAAAACGAACAATGTTTATACCAACTTATTATAAGATTTATTATATAAGAGTTAACAACAACGTTATTGGTATATTTAAAAAACATATATTTATAAAGATTTCAAAAATATTGTTGTATTCTGCGCAACGTATGGGTATTCGACTAGTGTTTTATAATAGAATGCATCTAATAATGAAGGATATTACTCGTAAACTTAAATATGGAAGTCTAAAGAGCTTAGAACATAAGTACATCCCAGTGATGCTACATATGTTGGAAAGTGGGATTGATATTATTTAGTTAATTAATAAGAATTGATTTTTACTCAACAATTTTTTCTATTCGCTTAGGCCGTGTTTGGCGCACCACAGCTAGCTTATTTTTCGAGCTTTTTTATATTGTCGTGTTTGGTAAGCCAAAAAGTAGCTTTATAAGCTAGCTTTTTGAAAAGCTACTTAAACTAGCTTTTTAAGAGCTTTTTAAAAATTTTCTAAATATACATCTTAATTAATTATAGAAACAAATACTCTTAAATGTCATATTATGTAATTTTATATATTTCAGATAGCTTTTCAGCTAGTTTTACTAAACGTCATTTTTTATCAGTTAGATTTTCATAATTAGCTTTTTATTTAACAGCTAGTTTTTCAGCTATTACGCCAAACATAACCTTAGTCCCTTAAATAATACCGGGGAACCTTTTTACCAAACAACCAGTTTCTATTTGATGGAAGACAGGTGGCACATAATTAATAGGGAATTCCAAATTATTTTTTCATTATTTATTTTTCTAAAGGTTTCATTCAATTAGTTTCTTTATTTGCTTTTCGGTTTGGAAGCGTGCTGGTTTTTGAGAAGTGCAATATGAGTATAGAATGATTTGACACCCAATCAAGTAGCGCTCCCATATTTTTAACAATAAAATATCTTTATCATAGGTGCACCACTTTCGTCTAATTTTGTCTAGTTTCGACAACTTCTCATTAGAAATTCCTACCGGACACTTTTTAGAAATAGGATCGATACCATCTGCACTCACAATAAATCCAAAAAAACAACAACATTCTTCCCATAAAGTTGCAGTTTTTTAAGTTGGTGTAAAGCTTGTTTCTTTGCAAAGTTGTTAGTACCTCTGTTAAGTGGATGAGATGTTCCTCTTTTGTTTTGTTATATACCCAGATATCATAAAAGTAACCCACAATAGATTTCCCAGTAAAAAATTTGAGTGCATGTAAAAAATTGAAACCACATGGATGAACCATGTAAAAAATTGAAAAGTTTGAATTTACTCTTAATATAAGATTGTAATAGAATGAATTATTGTAGATGTTACAAAATAGAAATGAAAAAAGTAAAAAGAGGAGATACATTACATATCTAGAGACTAGAGACTAGAGTTAGAGTGGTGACTTTGCTGGTGTACCGGGTTCTCTTGGATACTTGTTGGGGGTGGGCTGATGTTTTAAACATATGATTGCAGTTCTTTGTCCATATGGGCTGTGTGAATTCACTGTTTTGTTTTCTCACAGAATATTATTAATATTATATTAAAAGGAATCAGTAGGAATTGAGACACAAAACAAATAGTCAAATACCATTGCATGTTTCTAACAAGGAAGCGCCCATCAAAGAAATTGCCCTCTTGCCTCTTTCAACTTCTTCCTGCCAATATTGTTTGACCAAAAAAAATATTTGAAAAAGGAGCTCACAGACATTTAACAATTTTAGTTCTATATTAACTATTTACTAATCTCTTCTAGTCATAATTCTAACATCAAATAGATATTACTATTTACCATGAAGCAGGAGGATCTTTTGTTGTAGCATGTACATCAGAAGAGCAAAAGATGATAAGAGAGGAAGTAAATAAAATTAAACATGTACCTGAGGAGCATGACCTTTTGCAGCAACAAACAAGCCACCAACACGAACAAGGGGAAGACAGTATTCAGCTGCTTTACAAAGACCAAAAGGAGGTTTAATCACATGAACAACTCAAAGATTTCTAGACTATGTGGTGGTATTAAGTGTAGTACCTAATATCCTCATTTCTGCAACAGCTCTTGCCACAGCAACATCAAACACCTCTCTAAATTCTTGATTTTGTCCCACATCCTGCCCTATTAAAATTATTTAGAATGTTATCGCCATTTTCCTGATTCAAACATGTCCTTGTATGTAGCACAAGTTATGAAAAACAAGCAAAAAGCATAAGATTAAAAGGTGCATTTCTAATTGAGGAACAGGTTAGGAGCTTGAGGTTGTTGCTAAATTGGAAGTACTAATTCAATGAAAATGGTAAACTTGTTTCATGCTAGACAAATTAATTCCATGAAAATGAATAAACAAAGATAACCAAATTGCTTGATTGATTTGCCGAAAAGCATACCTCTGCTCTTCCTCTAATAATCTTCACATTAGATAAACCAATCAAGCCAACTGCATGCTCTAGGAAAATGCAGCGCTTGTTTAATGACTCCAGAAGTGTCACTTCCCAACCTAGAGATTGAAAGAGTTATTAACCACAAAGAAAATCAAGAAAAAGTTGAGAGCTGAAATTTGATGGGATACGTCCTTTTATCCATTATGTAATCCCATCAGTGCATTTGAAAATTAAAAAGATATTACCCATAAAGAAGTTCAAGAAGAGTTGAGAGGTGCTTTACCAGGGCAAGCAATGGCTAATATCAATCCAGGAAGTCCCGCGCCACTTCCCACGTCTACAAGATTGAGGTTTTCAAATGAAGATTCACAATGCGAAATATATGAGCTCTGAATTGGGGGTATAATGGAAAGAGAATCCTCAATGTGTCTATCCATAACATCACTTGCCTCTTTAACCGCAGTAAGATTCATCTTCTACAAACCAGTAATCCAAAAAGAGAAAATTATCAATTACCACTTTGGATAAAAGCTTAATCTGAATACTTAAGTTAAGTCGAGAATTATAAAGACGGTGGCAAGTTTAACCTGGTTCCAATCGAGAAGAGAATCGATATAGAGCTGGACTTGTTGTTTCTGTAGAGGATTTAGGGTGTCGAAGTGGGAGGCATTGACGATTGAGGATTTTGTCGATGCAAATCTTCTGGTTGTGATCGTTGGTTTGAGATTTGAAGCGCGCTCAATGTGTTTGATGAAAGTCCCCAAAGATAGGGAGACGGGGAAATTGAAGACTCTGTTCCGCAATAGCACCATCTAGGCGGCGTAATAGATCCGGTATAAGAAGTTCGAATAATGAAATCCTTTAAACAGGCTTAAAAAATCTCGATTTTCTTTTTATTTATACCAAAAATAAAATAAAATAATAATAATAATAATAACTTTAAAACCAAACTTGTCAGAAAAAAAAAAAAAAAAAGATTTCAAAACCAAATTTGTTACAACCTTTCCATCTTGAATATTCGACATTGCTTATTCATGAACACCATTGGTCAATTTAAACACAAATAAACCCAATAATGCGATTTTACACATTTGGAGGCCCAAAAATGTCTAGCTCCAAATAACAAGTGCTGCACTCTTCAATTTTTTCCATATTATTTACGTATTAATGCATTGGACACCATATTAATTTTAATTGAATGATATAAAATCTTGCAATCATTATTTTTAAGTAATTCCGACGATATACTTTGCCACATATTTAATTCCATATAGTAAAATAAATATGCAAACTCTTATGGTCAGTAAAGTGTTTATATTTTGTTCCATAAAAATAATGTTGTCAAATCTTCAAAATTAACACAACCGTGGCCAACTACAAATCACGCATCAAACATTTCACCATGTCAAGTTTTAAATAATGAGACACATAAGTTATCAATCAATTCATCATGTTGTGTCAGAACAAATGGTTGCGTTTGGTGCACCACAGTTAACTAATAAGCTAACTTATTTTTCGAGCTTTTTCATTTTGTTATGTTTGTCAAGCCAAAAAGTAACTTATAAGCTAGTTTTTTAAAAAGCTACTTAGACTAGCTTTTTATGAGCTTTTTTAAAAAAATTTCCAAATATACCCCTTAATTAATTATAGAAACGCATTCTATTAAATGCTCTTTTATGTAATTTTGTATATTTCAGCTAGTTTAACCAAACATTATTTTTTATCACCTAGATTTTTAACTATCAACTAGCTTTTTATTTAACAGTTAACTTTTCAGCTATGTGACAACCCGAAAGATCTGAATCAAGCAAGGTCTAGATTGTAGCCTTGTGCAAGTGAATTCACAATGTAAAATTGTTACAATAAAACCTTGAAAGCCATAAGGACATTAGTGGCATGTGTATGTATATAAGTTCATATATATATATATATATATATATATATATATATATATATATATATATATATACCTTAAAAATCATATTTATGAGAACCTCTTGAAAGTAAACAAGTTTTAACAAATCAAGACTAGTCAAACAGTGGAATAGAAATCATAAATTTAGAACATTGTATTATAATATCTAGCTTAGTACCCCACCCACCCTAGAACACCCTAAACCGAAATCAACAACCTAGAACCACTAACACCGAAATCAACATATGTGGAAGGCGAGAACCGAAATCACCTTTTAGTGGGTGAAACTCAAACCGAAAACCCTTCCATGGGGGACCCCAAGACCGAAATCAACCCCAAAACAAACACGTAGGACCGGAATCACCTCAATGGACCACACTTTGGCCGAAAACACCCTTAATGGGTCATTGTTTGGCCGAAATCACACCTATGATCTCATACAAACATGATTTCGGTCTAGGGGAAAGAAACAGATAAGAATAGTTGACTTAGTGAAGTGACAGATTCATCATTTTCCCATGCAAAGCAATACACACCGTATATCCATGTATTATTCACCAGTCACCCAAGTAAACATCAAATAAATTTCCTTCCTTATCTTAAGGACGAATCCATCCTCCCCAAACTCCACCATTTCCATTCTCACATACTGTTAATCACATTTACTCTCAAATAACCAAGTCCAACTTCCAAGTTCAAAACTCCTCAAGTGTATTCTTACATTTGGTAAGTATTCCTTCAAATCTAGTGTATTTATACACTTTTATGTTAGTTTCATTATATTTACACATATATTATTATGTGTTACACCTTTAGGATACTAATATTTCCAAGGAAGTTCATCAACTCCATCCAAGAGTTTAGGCTTGAAATCTTCACACCATCTTCTCAAACAACCCACAAATCCACTCAAGGTGAGTTCATATCCCATATTTTCAAGCTTTTTCATGTTTTTAGGGGGGGGGGGGGGGGGAGGATACAAGTAAAGCTTTGTTTATCACACTTTGTTTACATGTTTTCATCTCATGTTAAAGATAAAATATTATTTGCATAACATATGGTTAATACTAGTTTTTGTATAATCATTTTGATATATACATACATATATATATATATATATATCTATATATATATAATATATATATATATATATATATATATAGTTTTTGCATAACATATGGTTAGTTTGAATTGCAAAGCTAACAAAACAAACATAATCTATGTTATAAAATCATAAGAAAAATTTATGATTTGTAAAACTCCATGGCTTTTGGAAACTTTTATTTAAAAGATACATTTTCTAGCAAAAATGGTTACGTTACAGTCATTTACTAATTTGGTGGGTTACAACCCAAAGATATTATGTTTTGATTTCATATTTTAATACTATACAAGAATACACATTCATATTTATATAAAAGATTATATAAATAGTTTCAAACAAACAAGATAAACTATAATTGGTATAGTTTGGAAGTCACAAACCACACTTTCATTTCAGAAGATACATATAATTATTCGGAGATATAATTACTTCGTTTTACAAGAAAAAGGAGTCATGGTTCACGTAAATCAGTTAATGTTCTTGTGAGACACACTCTCTTCACGTACTTTACCTAAAGTACACCTTAAGTCCTGCATTATAAACAGAGTCTACTGAAGGGAGAGCGAGACCGTTGTGTATAGATCTATACGGGATTGACAACCCCGCACCTAAGCTGTTCGTTATAGTTAGACCGGAAGTCTAAGGTGACAAATGTCTACCAGCTCCGACGCCTGAAGAACGTCGTACAAGCCACTAGTCGTATTAAGTATGGTTATAATAACTCACATAGGGATCAGCGCCACTACTCAGTTTACAGGGTAAATTACACTTCAATAGTTTTATAAAAAGATAAAGCTACATACTATTTTCACCACAGCATTACTTATACATTTTTGGTCTTAGGGTTAAGACTACGGTTCACATTTAAGAAAATATTGGATTTTCTGGGAAAATACACTATCACTCTACAAGTAAACTATACAAAGGAAACACATACATCTACAGTTCATACTTAAGAAATATTCAATTTTCTGGAAACATACATCATCATTTTACAAGGAAAAAGGTACAAAGGAAATACATACATTTATAGTTCATATTAAAGAAAATATCGGATTTTCTAGAAGTATACAAAAATCAGTTTCTCGAAAAACTTTACAAATCCTTCTCGCACAAAAATGCTTATGAACTCACCAACTTAATTGGTTGACACTTTTCAAAATCACTTGTATTCTCAGGAAACCAGTAGACAGGTATTCAACCTTTGAGGCTTGGCGTCGCTTCGCGCATTATGTTTTCTACTTTTTTATTCATATTTAACTTTGAGCAAAACATAGTTTGTAAACGATGTAAACTTGTATTATAATGTATGAGTTTGGTTGCTATGTTTTATTACTATTCAATTGTTATGATACTGTACATGAAATCACTCCATCTGCCCCCAGACGTTTCCACCGTTCTGGTTTGGGGGTGTGACAAATTAGTATCAGAGCGTTGTTTATAGTGAACTAGTATATCAAACCATACAAGATATACAACTATAAATACAATGGGACTAAAACACTCTGACCAAGAGTTATACTTTTAAATATAATAGTATTTTATAGAAGTATACATACATACATACATACATACATACATACATACATACATACTAGAACCGTGTCATAATAAGGACAAAACAAAAGTATTTAGATAAGTTGGACACTGCAGTTAAGCCTAGACAGTTATGTAATCATATCTGGAATAAATATAGCCTGATCAACTATATTTATTTGAGATACGACCAACGTGTGTTTGGGAATGATCGTGGTGTTGCAACAAGTCTAAAACTTACCAAACTCTATATACAAAAGGAAACTCTAGAACCAAACATAAAGCTTAAAATACTATAGGAGTATTTTATG